GGAAATTTTTTTGCGGATTTTCGATCAGCCCAACGACTAATGATTTTTGTTCCGTCGAATGGTCATTCCCTATTAGTGTGTGCGTTGAAGTAAAATAGGTTAATCCTTGTGATACTCCTCTTATAGATGCATTATTTTATGGATGTTGCTCATTTGTTTGAGTTTGCATGCATGTGACATGTGATATCACTGCCAGACCATCATCCTCGTGTATGATCTATGACGAAATGAATTGATCGTTCATTGGGAGACGCAGTCACTGCGTTTTGAATGAAAACTCATCAGACACAATTCAGAAATCAGAAGAATATCTCAATGCAGAGCCAAAGAATAGACCGGACACGTTGTCACATGTTTAGACATGATATCAGTTTGTATCAATGACCTTACCTTACTGATGACATACCTTACTGATACTTTACTTGTTCTCCTTACTGATACTGATGAATTCAGACTAGTAGGTCTTTTGAGAGGTATGGCAATTTCCTCTGAAGAGGGATTGAGTCTGTCCTGATTGTCAGACTGGATATCGTTCTGATAATAACTGCCTGACCAGTAGAACAACTTCTGTTCCCTTCGGAATCTCTTGAAAGCAGCTGTTTCTCTTTCTGTTCGATCTTCGTTGGTAGTTAATCGTTAAATATTACCATCTACTCGAATAGTAAAGTAGATTCAGTGATGGGTCTACCTCAGTCGGAGTTAAATATCCGCATGAATTAATGCATTTACTGATATTTGAACTGTTCATTTTGATGACTAAAACAGCCGTTCTCCCAGTTGATCTTTTAATCAGCTCAGTTTTAAGGGCTGTGATTAAGAGTATCGATGTGAAATTCACAACCTATTCGATTTGCTGATCAAATGATAAAGCAATGTTCGCGATTGCTTTTTTGATGATGACAATCGTGAAAAAATAATCAAATGTGTAAAATTGCAGTCTGAAATCATCTATGTTATTAGATTAATCCATATTCCATAATTAACTATAGGAACATGATCATTGAAGCAAGCAACACATCACAAAAGGATGAAATAGAATAACGAAAGTGAAATGATCAAAATAAAATGACAGAAATATGGATTCAGGTGCAATCGGATTACAGTGTTTTATATGTGGTGATGGCAATTTGGACGAATTTGGCGAGTGCAGTGCTCAATTTGAATACAACTGCTCGAATTATGCGAAACGTTTCCAGTCCGATGAACCTATATTTTGTCGTACAACACGGCAAAAAGCACCTAATAGTAGGTTTTGTTCTAGATTTTGGCTCGATTTCGAGGGATTCACTCAATTCAATGTTTGTCGATTGTGTGTACTGATGAAGTCACACAATTAGTTAGTCCCAATGAAATAATAAGGAAGTTTCTGGATTTTTGACTTAGTATAGAAATTAATCAGTGACATTCATCGAATACCTTGCTATCGTTATCAGTGTCATTATTGTTATGAGGAAAACTGTCGTATCGAATATTATCAACACTATCATGGTCAATTTCATTCTTATGGTTAATAATATCAAGCTTTATTTAAAGCTCTAAGCGGATTGCACAGCAGAAATTGTTTGAAGCCTTGAGATATTCAACACTTTAAGTGATCTTAACGTTTCCATAGATGGTCAACCATTTGGCCAATACATTTACCTCCTTCCCTTTCAGTTGTACAGACATCAAACTTTCAGACACGTATACAATAATGAAGGAGTGCATAAGTGAGCAGGATCACTATCGGACATTCCCCAAGAAAGATTACCGGCTGCAAGAGGAGTGCGATCTGATTGAAAGCGAGTCACAAGAACTGGCTTATTGCTTGTGTGGAACCGACTTATGCAATGAAAGACCAATTGCAGAACAATTCATTGCGTTTGAAGAGGTGAACACTGCTTTTGCAAATGATTTTTGAGAGTGAATTTGTATATTCCCATCCTGAATCGGACCGATACAATGATTGATCATCCAAAAAGACTGTATTGTGGCCCTATCGCATATAAACTTGAATATGTTAATTATGAGGGTAGAAAAAGCATCACAGTATCGGAAATAAAGTTGACTCCAAGCATCTGTTAGCAGCAACTTTCTAATGAAACATCGGAGTTATCAATTGTAAATGTTTTGTGTGATATTAGAATGAAAAAGGTTATTTTATGTAATAGCAATAAAATAAGCTTCAGGTCATTAACTTGAAAAGTTCATTTAACTACTGACCCGATATATTTATCTGTGAGAATTTGTGATTTTGGGGAAACATTCAGGAACATCCGGAGCTATTCTCAGACTCTGACAATAATGAAAGCACAAGTCTAAAACCAACTCCTAGTGAAATGCCAAATCGAGCAAAAACTGATGAGAAGGCAATGTTCGACGCAGATCAAAGTGGATTGGAACAGGTAGTTTTCTTTGGATAATTGCGCTCCCAACGGAAATGCGCAATCGAGATTTCAAATGATGACACAAACTCAGTGTGAGGATATACTGTATCCCGATATACTGTATCCCGTCCACTGCGTTACGTTTCGGCAGTATCGTTGTGAAAATCTATTTTCCTATTAGAAAGCGAATATTATATATTGTGTGCCAATGAAATTTAGTTTAACAAAGAAATCTGACTGCACTAAAATGGTAATCATCTTGGATTATTGTGGATTATCGCTCTAAATGAATTCTGAATTATGCCGGATGGCAATAGATTACCAGCGATTAATTGTTAAATTTCCAGTGAAAATGCCATTTTTTCACCTAAGCAGGTGTACTTATAATCCCATCCAGGTTTTTTGAATTTATCAAAACATCATCTGCGGCTCGTTCATTTACGCATTGATCTAATCAGTTAAAGTAGATCAGACACTTGAGTTTACGTTCACTTTCAAGATGGAAGCGGCTAAAGGCGGCCAGCAACAGCTGAGACGCCATCCAGCAATCCATACTCATACAAATGATCAAGTACACAAAAATATACAGAGCGTTCCGAATGCAGAAAGTGGTTCCGTCAGCGAATTGTCAGCCAGTGAAGGAACTCATCTTCTAGTCGATGCAGGTACAGGGCATACCTCGAAACCTATATGTTCATTAGCAATACTCCAGAATTTAAGATTTTATATTTGGACAATTTAAATTCTTCAGTTATTGCTAGTGAAGAAGTGAAACAACGTACAGTTCATCAGTGCAATGTTACGCACATGTACAAGCGAATCCATAAGAGTTATAGCATGTCATTTTACAATTCTCAGGAAGCAGCACCCCGTCGACCCTGAAGTGTCTGCAATGTGCTCAAGGCAATCTTGAAGACAGCCGAGCGGACTGCGCGCAACAAATCGTTGTAGAATGCGATCGCCGAAGCTCAGCCACTCGTGGCAGTGACCAGCCAGAGTATTTTTGCTTAACAAGACAAATTTTAATAGCACGAGGTAGGTTAATTCAATGAACAGGAAAGAGTATCAGTTATCTGATTAAAGCACTTTCTAGTGTGAGATGATATATTGATAGAGGTGAACGTTCTGTTCTGCTGAACTTGACCTGGAGAACTTAATATCTCCATGATAAATAGATTTAATCAAGAGAAAAGATTTGAATTTGGATTTGAAGACTTGAATTGAAAGTTTCGTTACTTAAAGGACAAAATGCAATTGAAAAAATGTGCGTCACACATACAGCACTAGTGGAGGAGTACGGTAATGGAGTGGATCATGACGGTTGTACGATAACGAATGCTGGGCATGTTCGATATTGTGTTTGTCAAACTGACGAGTGTAATCGTCTCACGATCAACGAACAGGTCAGTGTTTCCATGTATATTTCATCGAGTGAGTATGAGTTTTGCTCATCAAAAGATCCGAGTGGATCGAATTTATCAATTGTTTTTACTTATCTTCGTTGTAATTTGTAATTTGTCTACTTTCTGTTAGCAACACCAAGAGAATCACAGCACTGTTGTCAGTGGGTTGCTTAGGAGCATTGTCATATCATGCATAAAACGACAGCCTACAGAATTTGTTGCAGATATCCATGAGCAATCCACCTTCACTCGATTACGACTCAACTTCAGCACCCTCAATGGCATCAACACAGAAGTCAATAATTTCGCCAAATTCACAGGTATTCCCT